TGAGCAATATTTTCACGAAGAAGGGTTGCTTCTGAATAATTTGCTACGAAAAGCTCTACAAACTGCAAAAATTTGACTTTTCTGGAAAACTTTATAGTTTGACAACACAAATCATAATTTACAGAAACATGCAGTTTACCCAGCAAATTCAACTTCTTTATCATTAAAAAAGAACTCCTGCTCGACCTGTATATGGTACTAAGAACTCTAAAATACTCTCATAATCGATATATCCTATAAGTATGACCCTACAATCAAGTGGGTATCTTACAGACACTCGGCTGACAATGAGTTGAAATGAAGGCCTTGCGCTGTTGTTGGTTATGATCCCATTCATTTTTAACACATATAACGTCGTTAAAAATACAAATTATGACTTGAAATTTTAACTACATATCCTTGAGAAACGTAGAAATTTATTTGCATCAAAATCTGGAAATCCACAATTTTGGCCAAAGCTGTGTTTTGTCGCTATGCTGAATAATTTAGCAACTCATGCAAGTCCCCTTCTCCTAAGGGGAATCGTAAATAATGATTTGCTGTACATGCTTTAAACAGCTACACACACAAGAGGTCACAAGTGAAATTTTTCAACTTTGCAAAACACATCTTTAGTAGTTTTGAACTTATGAATATTCCTGCAAAAAAGCAGAATTTCTTAATACCTGAGCATGCTTAAAATTTCAAAATTCTTACACTCTGTTTCATCTTGGCTTAATCTATAAAGAACTTAAAACACATATATCCCCCCCCCTTTTTTATTTCAAGTTGCTTTCCTGAAGTCAGGTTTTTTCATCTGAATTTGCTCACTTAATCAAGAGGAACACATCATTTTTAAACGGATCTTGTACATATTCAGTTGCGTTTATGATCTACATGATGTCAAGAATAATTAAAGCAAATCTTTTAGAAAAAATTGTTTTTGCAATTTTTGAAAGATGAATGTTTTCATGATTCCGGGACTCTTCACCTAAAGAATAGTCTCCTACGAGATATGTCTCCTTGGACATTTCACCTAAGACTTTTGACCTGCGTATTTTTGGCCTAAAGACACTTTCGTAAACAGCATTTCTCACCATGGACATTTCGCCTATATGCATTTGCTTTCACTATCCTTTGTATATGTGTGGCTTCCGTTTTATGCTTTGCCACTTGTTTACTCGAGTCATTCTCTTATCGATGATCTTAACTTTCTAATATGAATTATTTTATTTTATTTTATTTATTTTGATACATTTAATATTTTCTGATCTCGCAATGTAATTGCTTTTATCATGTAGTTTCTTATTTTATTTGCTTATTTTAGTTGTTTTGTAGTTGCTTTGTAGTTTACATGTGTTGTTTATGTAAGCCTTGATGATGGGACCTGGTGTCTTGAAAAGCTTTGGCTAGGTAAGTAATCATTTGAGATTATATATAATGAATAGCATTGTGGTTCATTAAACTTATTACTTTAATTTTAAATTTTACCATAAACATAATAGATGCTACTTGTCCAACCATGTTTGTTTAGTTTACAAAAAGGTCCAAGATGAAGGGTTGCACTCTCCCCTTCTACCTAGGTGGCATTCTTTGCTTCCCCTGGCAACTAGCTTTTTACATCCAAGTCAAAAATTGCCCTTTCGGTCTCCCCCTTGCAATTCTGGTTACGGCCCTGGCCCTGTAAGAGGTACAAATGTACTAAAATTTCAAGATAGAAAAAAGAGTATGACTGCTGCACAAGTTTCAAGTACAATTTTTTTAACCTTACAAAGTTGAAAATTGAAGATCAATTTTTTTAACCTTCAGCACGAAGTTGAAAATTGAAGATTCTTTTATAACTTAATGTTATGTAGAGGCAAACAATTGATCCAATTTTTTGTTGCATCTCAAGATGATGTTGATGCCGGAACAGAGACTGGTGACTCAGACAGTTCCTCAGAAATTTTTATGCCCAAGAAAGTTAAAAGCTTGAAGTGCACAGACATTCTCTCTGTTATACACTTAAAAAAATTCCATTGAAAATCATGCTCTGTGAACAAACGTTTTTTGGGGATCCCTCCTACTAAAAGATGAAAAGAGGGGATAGAGCTCAAAAGTGACGGATCGGCATACCCAGGGATCAGAACTCTCATATTCCTAGGTATCATCGGGGCCTGCGAGACATTAAAAGAGATGAAGGGAATCCCATGATTTCGAATGCAATTGCAATCTGTGTCGTTTGAGTGGCGAGTGAGAAGGGAAATTGTAATATAGGGCCAGTAAACGTTAGGTAATAACGGAAGTAACATTATTAAACGCTGCATCTATGAATGAATCGAGTGAGCGTGGCCGAAATGCTGCGAGCAACTATTACTGCTCCTAAGCCGCTTACATTGCCTACCGAGATATTGAAGGCGAACTGATGAGAACGAGAGAGAAACGAACGCATACTCTTCGTACTTTTCCGGTTTTTCGGGGCTACTTTGAACTTGTCGAACTTTTCCAAAATCCAGGACATTTTGAGTCTGCAGAAAACCTGAAGAAAGGATCCCTGATCGATGTAGGTATTTGTGCACTTTTTAAACAATTTTTTTACATTTGAATTTAATGGTCAATGATATGAGGACACACTCAATTTGGAATGGTTGTTTTTTCAATCAGGGTGTCTACTAAAACTGGCTGGCAAAGAATCAGCACTTTTTTAATACTTTCCCGAACAATTCAGTACTTACCTACTTCACCAGTAAAACAATTCAGTACTTTTACGGTACTTTAATGTGACGAAATTCGAAAAAATTCGAAATTCACGCACAAATCAAAACAAAAATGACAGTACCGGGAAATTCAAAGCTAATTGATAGCCTGAGAGTCAACTGACTGCAATATCGTGATCAAGCGGGAAAATACTGCGCCAAAATCAATTCGCAAGGGATCGTATACTTTCTAGGCTGTTTTAAGAAAACACATTTGGCAAAAAATTTCAGACCGTAAAGCGGAAAATGCATATTTTTTCAGTACTTCTGGACCGCCTTAAAAAAATCAATGCTACTTCCAAACCCTCCGGATTTTCCAGACCAGTAGACACCCTGCCAATATTTAAAATTTGAAACAAATCAGAGTCTAATTAGAAAGAAAACGTACAAATGCTAGAGAGTCGAACTGCTAAGTACAAACCAAGTCAACCTCCTTTTTTTCCAACGATGACTCCTGAGAGTGGTAGCCAATATTTTTTTCAGCATTTGGAGTGAATGCAAGCAACGGTTCCAGTGAGTATTTGATATCATTCTGTCCTTTGATCATTCCTCGAGGATGGCCGTTCTAAAATCATTTGATAGATAAACAGCAGATATTTTTGTGAGTGGCACACTAGTTGAAGTGTAAGGAAAAGGCTGCAAAATAGAGACAAAACCAAAAGTTACTATTTTCCGAAAAAACATGAAATTTCAAGAACACAGATAATTCCTCCCATGCCTTTTGAACTAAAGAGGTTAACTGTAATAAGATAAAATGTATGATTGAGCTGGAGTTGATGAGTGGAGATTTGGTGCAAGCATAGGTTAGTGGCATTGGAGTGAATTTCCATGGCGAGGAAAACTGCTTTTTCTAAAAGGGTAGATAAATTACATGAGTGAATGACACTTGTGTGACATTTAAAAGTGCTTGAAGATGAGACATTTGTCGACATAAAATACTATTTAATCATTTCAACCGCATGAAAACTACAAACTGAAAAGGTAAATTTTAGGCTTGGTGCACACTAAAGGTATGAGGAACAGACTTGAGCGAGGAGGCGACATCAGACCTCATGTAAGAATAAAAATCCTCAGACGGTAAGCGTTTAGCACCATCCTAAAAGGAGAAATTGTTTGTATTTTGCCATGGGCCACTGATGTTTGCTTGAAGTAATTACTTTGGTCTCCACATGCAATAAATTTTTTTTTTTTTTTTTTCTTCAAATAGCCTGGAAGGCTAATCCCATTCGGCTTCACGCACCGTTCATTCACCAATTCATAAACCCACTCTGTCGACTTCCCTCAACAATCTCCCATCACCCCAATTATCGTTCTGATATATCCTCATTTTAAACAACAAGTTCATTTTAAATGCCTTCAGCCCCAATTCTTCCAACTTATAACATTTAAATTTATTATATTCCCTTACCCCTTTATAGAAAACCATCTTATCCACATTACCCTTTTCATGATATGCCCAGACTTCACCTCCATGTCTAGTCCCTTTTGAATTATCACCCCACACTAGCTTTTTTAATTCCTCATCTACGCCTTTTATATAACCCTTCTTAATTTTGTAAATAAATACGAAGGCTCTGTATTTGATGAACAGTTCTATACACAACCACTCCAACTCATTAAACATTCCTCCAATGTTCTCTTCTCTACCCCTTTTTAAAATATACCTCATTGCATTATTTTGCCCCACTTGTAACCTTTCAATCACTCCCTTCCCAGCTTCAAAGAGTACGGTTGTACAGTGATTTAATATCGCCCCCACTACTGCATGGTACATCAATTTCTTCCCCTCAATCGTCAACACATTTTTCATCCTCCAAAGCAAACTTACTCTCCTTCTATATTCACTCACTATTATTTCAATTTGCCTGTCCCATCTCAAGTCCTCAGTAACCATCACCCCCAAGTATTTATATTCCCTTACTCTCCCTAATATCTCCTCCCCAATTTTTATCCTCACCTCTAAGTTCCTATACTCTTCTTTCGAACTAAATACAACAAATTTGGATTTTTCTATATTGAGCTTTAATTTATTTATTCTTAACCATTCATCTACTCTATTCAGTTCCTCAGACAGTTTTTCTTGTACTTCCGCTACATCTTCGCCTATCATGTAAATCAATGTGTCATCTGCAAACATTCTAAGCTTACATACACCCAGCACCTTTTTTATATCATTAATATATATTAAGAACAGCACTGGCCCCAATCTACTCCCTTGCGGTACCCCTAGCTCGACACACAATTCATTCAAATCATTGGGACGGTAATGAGCAATCAACTACTTGTTAGCTTGAGAATCTCACAATTGATTCTCCTCACGAAAAAGGTACTTTCAGAAAAATCATGATAAAATCAATTTCTTACCTTCCTTGGAGTCATACTTATCAGTGTTACTGTAAGATTTGAGGGTTAAAATGTCTGTAGGAAAAACATGCCGAAGGCACGTACTGTTTGAGCTCTACGTGAAAACTCTGTTGGATGACGCTTCAATCTTTGTTGCAAATATAGCTTGATACACTCAATTAACAAGGATCAGATATCTCGCATAACTGGCACGACGGGGAAAGATTTGAGGTGGGAAATTTTGAAAATTGAAAAAGATTTTTTAGAAACCAATCGAACCCTCTCATACTTTCTTCGCCTTTTTTTCCTTCCTCCACTCCGGTGTTTACAAAATAGTGTGAGCACGATTGCCATGTCTCTTGATAATCCACATTTAAAAACAGAAAGAATTCTATTTTGCTCCTTCAAAAATAATGTCAGGTGAAAATAAAATAGGATTTCACTGCTAACGGAACACATCCACAAGATTGATTACTTACGAGATTGACTTATAAGCAATTAAATATATGCACTGCGTAATGACGTTTAAGAAAACAGAACACGATTTGGCAACATAACCATGCAACATGTGGAAGATTTAAGGTTATGTTCCAGTGTTTTCAAACCTCAGTTCTCTGTTTCAAACTGCTTCAGCTATTCAACATTCTAAGTTAAATAATTTTTGAAAATTCAGGCATTTAACAAGCCGGCGATTAGTGCAGTTAGATGTTCAATAATATTCGGTTTCTCTAACAAAGTCAGTATCGGTAAAGTCTCCTTTAGTCGTCTAAATATCAGAGTGTACAATGATTAGCGATAGCGATATGGAGATCTTAAGACCAAAAATTATCAACATCGCTGGCCGGTGTTATCGAGTCCATAACTTTGTGGAAAATACCTCTAACCTACCGGATACCTCTGCTCCTGGCCCGTATCATGAATTAGGTATGGTTTTTAGAAATAGCAATCATTAAATAGCTTTGCTTTAATTAAGATCTGTCATGGCATTACCGGAATGATGCAAGGCCAATGCCTCTCATCGTCCCTCTTAGATCTTGCGCTTTGAGCCTCGAAAACAGAGTCAGATTTTGTTGTCAGCAGTTTCTCCACCCAGCTGATGGATCTGGTAATGAAATCCGTGGGGGCAGAAAGAGAGCTTCTTGGTTGCCAGATTCCTCAAACTCTCCTGAAGTTTCATCCATCATGATCATTATTAAATAATCTAAAATCTCATTTGCACTTAATTTCTTTTACAGATGAAAACTATGATGATGACTTAGTGTATGAAGACAAAGATGAAAAAGATAATTTAAAAATTGAATCAACCCCTGAAGGATACAAGGCTGAATTTCATGTGGCCAGGTAAATTATTCTAATTTATTTAAGATCTAAAAATTATGAATTACAAGAACAGCAGTAGCAATAGGCACATAATGTGGCCTTTCCATATTGCATTGGAAATAATTTTGAAGACGTTGGAAATTTCACTACTTTTTTTTAAGAGCAAGCGAAGATGTTCTTCGGAGGTAGAGAAAAGAGCTTAACTTAAGGGTACCTATAACTTTAGGTAATGTAATTAATTCTCTTGTTGATACACAAATGGAATTAAATTCAAATATTTTTTGTAGAAATACTGGTTTTTTTTTCTTTTTCTTGTGTTTTCAGGAACTATTATCCTGCAATTATTGGTTCCAAGGGTGCTGTTCGTAAAAGACTGGAAACTGAGACAAAGACGCACATAAAAATTCCTCGTCTTGGTATTACAACTGGTGACATAGGTTAGCAAATGCACCTTTTACCTCTGACTTTATATTCATTACTTACTCTTTATTTTTCACTGATGGTCATAACGATCCATGGAGCCCTTGTTTTGATTTATTAACTCACCACTTGCAATTCGGATTCCTTTTTGAGTAGTGGTTGCGTGTAAAAATAATCCAATACCAGGCTATTGCCATCAAAAATAAGGGATGGCAAATCCGCAATTTCTGTTGCATGCTTTTCCCCTGTTTGTATTATTCTATTCAACATCATGATCTTGTCAAAAATTTGTTTGATTCTCAAAACGGGCTACATGTTGCAATTAGGATCAAACATTTCTGGCTCACCCACAGAAGCATAAATCGCCCGAGGGAAACCAATAGCATATATTGATGGTGAAACTGTAGGAATGTGTATCTTTTTTTGCGGCGCTTCAGACTTCCTGTCATACTTGTATTTTATTTTTCACATATAAAAGCACTATTATATCATTCCTTGAAAACTTTGGTGACTTTTCCTCTATGAGAACATTCTCTGAAAACTTCATGTCATGATGTTTTGCGGTATCCCTTCAAAAAATGAAATAGGAGCTAAGGTTTTGAAACACCGCAATCGAGAAACAAATTTTTTTCATTTTAGCACCGATATCTTGTCTCTACGATGAGCCAGGAATGGTAAATCCCAATTGCAAGTCCAAATATCAGAAAATATAAATCTGTTGAGTCTCCGATACTTCTGTCTCTTGGGGTTTTAGCATAGTTTGCAAGTGGAGAGGCTTTAATGACCATAACTCAGAAATTTCTTTGTACCTTTAATTCTCAATCAGTCTGACTCTTGGAAGGGGTAGGTTTTATTCATACCCTCCCCCTGGTAGGAACATCTTATGGAGCCTTTTGTGGCGTTTCCTCTGTTTTGCTTTTCTTTTTAAAACGTAATTGATAAAAAATCATCACACTTGCTTTGCAGTTATCACAGGTTCTGATGCCAATGGTGTGCGAAGGGCTTATCGCAGGGTGAAACAAATTGTAGAAAAAGTGCGAAAGACTCAGCCTGCTACCCACTTCATCTCCATTCGATGCACTAGTGAGGCCATTAAGTCTAATTTTTTAACTTTCAAGGTAAGCCATTATTTTTTTACTCTACAAAAGCAAGTTGAATGGCATGTAACTCTAATAATACTTAGTGGGTCAGTAGGCAAGACCTCTAATATTGCATTGTCTTATGATGCGTAGAACTTTTTTTGTGGGTGTGCCAAATAGTGAAAAATGAGTAAATTAAATTTTTTCCCCCCAGTTCTTCCTTGAATTTGGAGGAATGCCTCGTTGTAATTCAGACTAGACTGACTTTTACTTACTTTAAAGTAAGTGTTTTCTCCTTACTAATAGGTTTTAGAATTTGTGACCATATCTGTGGAAAGGGGCCTTTTTTCTCAGAGAAATATTTACTTAACCTATTGCAAATGCTGAAACTACAACCTAAGAGTTTTTGTCGTAGCATTTCAGGACTCATATCTTCTTCAATTTTTGAGCTATTAGACTTAAACCTGTGCCAAAATTTCTAGATTTTCTTCTCTCATCCATTTGAAACAAATTACGGAAAAAAATTTTCTCAGAAGAGAGAATCTCACAAATCCAGTCATGTTATTTTTTTTTTTAATTAGGATAGAAGCTGGTATACTTGCTTTAAATGTTTGGTTGTTTTGCAGGGGTGGAGTGGTATCTGTCACTTAAGATCAGGAAGCGCGGGGGTTGTTCCCAGCTAGGCGACCTTAGTTTGATAGCAATGGTTGCCGAGGGTTGGTTGTAGAGAAAGAACCTAGAAAAGAATGGGAACCAAGTACAGGATTAATGCTTGGGGGCTGTTGAAAGTAGGATAAAAAAAGGGGGGACCGAAACAATTATTGAAGATTTCCAAAATGCCACTGACTCAATTTTTCAAAAATGTGAGCAAGGCACAATGTTGCGTTGCCTCAGAGCACTGATTTTTTATTGCTATTCATACATTGAAACATCTATTCTTTTTTTCAGAAACTTGTCCTAGAGGAGTACAAATCTATTGATATTACTGAATCGATTTTCCAAGTCCCTGAAAAACTTCACTTGACAATCGCAGTACTGGTATTATCCGATACTATTGAACGGACTAAAGCTTGCCAAGTCTTTGAAGAGTGTAGAGACATTTTTCTGTTGTAAGTATGTTACTTTTTTCAAGTAGGTAAACCATGAGGCATTTCTGATTTTTACTTTAGATTTTAAGAGGGCCAAACAAAAAAATATGTAATCCAGCCATTATTGAAAATCAAAAAAAGAAAAGTGTCAACACTTGACTTTTATTCTTTTTTCATTCAAACTAAAATTTTACTTGCATTTTCAAAAGTCATTGGGGTCGGCTGGATTTAATTCCTTTCTCGTCTTTTCAACCCAATCATCCAGCCATCACTCATAAAATTAATTACTAGACTTGCAACTGATAGCTCCACTGATTATAGCTAGCCATTCGCGTATAGACTTGTCTCACCACCTGTTATGTCACCAAGTCTATATAAGCGCTCGCCGCCCATTTTTCAAGGGCCTCTTCCACCTTGATCCATGACTAGCATGTGTGCCATTAACGCACTTCTTGCACCTTTAATGTGTAACTATCTTTTGTGAAACTTTTGTTCAAAATTCCTCAATACAGTCATCTTTTTTGCCCCTTTTAAATTCAAGTTTTCAATTCGCTCTCCCATTAACTCATTTTCATTTATTTATTTTTTTTATTCAAAAGCCCTAAATTCCAACAAGTAGTGATAGAAATAGTCTAAAAGTCACTGCCATCATCAATCCTATCATTGACATTTATGTTAATAAAATATTTTGCCTTGCACTTTTTCATCTTTAATGAGGTGACTTGTGGGAGGTTAGATTTATCAGCAGCAAATTTCAGGATGATGAATTCTATAGTGTTTCAATAGCAACATTTTTAGATGTGATGAAGATGAAAGCAGAGTAGATAACTTTGGCGTAGGAAGTTGTTTATTTTAAGAAAGTTAAAAAAAAAAGAGGCCCTTTTCAGATGGGACATATAATTTGGTTCAGTTTATTGGTGAGAGTAAGTTGAATCAGTGATTTCGAAAACACACCAACTCGGTAACTTGAAATTGCTCAATTTTCACAAGAGACGGTCAATTTTTATAAAAGTCATTGAAATTAGCGCATCTGTTCCAACTTGGACCTTTTTAATGCCCTTAAGTGCTTGTATTTTGGCATCAAAGGTCT